GTTCCCTTCTAAGAATGACCAATGTCATACATACTGATTATAGAAACTATGTTAACAAATATATCACATTTTCAGAGAGAAATAATCTCAGAATAAGGTTTATACTCCTTACCAAAGATTTGGCAAAGAAACCATAATTATGAAAGGCAATTTTCATAAAAGCAAAGACAAAATCATTATAAAATGTTTTAGTATAAAATGACAAAATAATGTTTCAGTTTATTCATTTAACAAACATATCACGTGTCTGTTATGTGTCAGGTATCGTAAATCAAATAAGACCTGGTACCTGCCACCCTCTAAGAACAGATCTATTAAACAAGTAAATCAGTATTTGCTGCATGAGGTGGTTAGCCCTATGGAAGTGAGTATGCTTAGAGTACAAAGACACAGAAAAGGGCTATCTCAATCAGCATCAAAGAGTCAGTAAACACATCTTAGAAAAGATGAGCTGGGTTGAATTTTGCCACATGAATGGAATTAGCTGCATAAAAAGAGTAATCCAGAGACCAGCAGATGGCCTAATGGTTACCTCCCTAGACTCCTCCATAGTCGCCTGCAGTTGGAGTCTCCAACCTGGCAGTTTAAAACTCATGCAGGAGAGTGGGGAACCAGCAGTTGACGTACCGGTTACATCGCTGGACTCCCACATAGTTGACCACAGTTCAAGCCCCACACCCAGTGACTTAAAACTCATGCTGGACATGGGCACGTGTGCGTACCTGCCCAAGATCCTGAGAAGAGAGAGGAGGAGTGACTGCGGTGTGGCCATCCCCACTGGGGGGGGATTTCTCGCTTTCTGTCTCTCTGTCTCTCTCTATCTCTTTGGTGAGCACACACACACTATAGCAAAAACCTCTCAGAAAAAAAAAAAAAAAAAGGTAGTTTAGATCAAGGAATAGATGGTAACAGCAATACAGAAGCATAAAACAACATGAACCTTTCAAGATACTGCGAGCCCTTCTGGTTTGGAGGGAAGTTTGAAAGTTTGAGAGCAGTCCAGTATCAGAAAATGAGATACAAAGTGACAGAAGCCGAATCATTCAATGCTTTGGGAGCTAAGTTTAAATAACACTTGGCCTGCTGTGATGGTACAGTGTAACTCATTGCTTTACCATGCTGAGGCCAACTAGAAGGTCCCAGGTTTGTGGCCCACATGCAGGGAACACACACATGCCCATGATCCTGACTGCCTGAGGCTAGGGGTGGGATCATGGTGTAAAAACTGTTAGGGGTTCCTGTCTCTCAGAAAGAAAGAAAAGAAACAAGAAAGGAAGAGAGGGAGAGAGAAACAGCAAAAATCTTTCTTTAATTTTAAACTTTATCCGGAAAGATAGTCCCCCAATAGTTATTCCAACAGTTATTTAAAATATTTTAAGAAAGAATATAAAACAAGCATTTTTCCACTTTAAAATATTTATGGAACAAGGTGGGCAGCCAGGTGGAATGGTGGTCAAGGCAGCTGGATCCCACATGGCTGACTATGCAATTCGAATCTTGGACACGGCAACTTGAAAAACTCACTGGGCATGTGTACATACATGCCTAAAATTCCAAGAGGAGAAAGTAGAAGGGATTGTAGCATGGTCATTCCCTTGAGGAGGTGCTTTTAATCTCTCTCTCTCTCTCTCTCTCTCTCTCTCTCTCTCTCCCTCTCTCCAGCAAGAGCATGCACCCTATAGCAAGATAATTTTTTTAAAAGAAATCTATTTGACTCTGGTATGAGACAAGGATAATGCTATAATCCTAAATTCCAGAAGCAGTATTAGGAGTGGAAAGGAATAGATCTGAGAGATCCACTGTTGAATTTAGAGACTAATTAGTATAGAGATTATCCCACTAAGTGAAATAAGAAGAAAGAATCTAAACTGACTTGGTGACTAAGAAGATGACAATAAAGAACACAAGGAAAAAAGAGTGAGTCTCAGAAGGTTAGGAGCAAGAAGGAATAAACAGTTCATTTTCAAATTCTTGGGGCATTATATTTTCTATATATTTCCTACAGAGTATAAAATATATATTGCATTTAACAAACTACAGCCATAATGGAAATAGTACAGTGGTTCCTAAAGAAATTAAAAATAGATAGAACCACCAGGTGGTTTGGTGGTTAAGGTGCTGGACTACCACAAGGCCAACCATGGTTTGAGTCCTGAACCTGGCAGCTTGCTTTCTCACTTTTTTTTCTCTCTCTCTGATAAGTGCATGTGCTCTATAGCAAATTAAATAATAATAAATAAATCATTATTTTTAAAAATTAAAAATAGAACTACTATATGACCCAGTACTTCCTCTTCTGCTAAACAACCAAAGAAAATTAAATCACTGCCTCAGAAAGATACCTGCACTGCCAGGTTCATCGCAGCATTATTCACAATAATGAAAACATAAAAACAACTGAAGTGTTTGTTGATAGATGAATGAATAAAAATATTGTCACACATACACACACACACACACACACACAAATATTATTCAACCTTTAAAAAAGGAGATCCTGCCATTTGCCACAACATAGATACAACTGGAGGACACTGCACTAAATAAAATAAGCCAGATACAGAGCCAGCAGCTGGCATGGTGGTTAAGGCATTAGACTCCCACATGGCTGACCACAGTTCGAGCCTCAGACCTGATGGCTTAAAAATCATGTGAGGCACATGTGCATGCATGTCCCAAATCCCAACTGGGAAATGGAAGAGAAGGGATTGTGGCATGACCATCTCCCACATGAGGGGGTGATTTCTCATTTTTCCTCTCTCTGCCTCTCTCTGTCTCTCTCTACAGCAAGCAACCATGTCCTATGCCACAAACTTAAAAAAAAAAAAAGAAAGAAAGAAAGGAAGAAAGAAAGGAAGGAAGGAAAGGGAAAAAAAAAAAAAAGAAAGAATAGAAGAAGCCAGAAACTGGAAGAAAAAAATACTGTGTAATATCACTCATATCTTGGAATCTTAAAACATAAAAAAAAAAAAAACTCTACAGAGGTAGAGAACAAACCAGTAGTTACCAGAGCTGGAGAGAAACAAGGAGAAAATGGGAAGATATTAGTCTAAGGACAGAAAGTAGCACATACTTAGGGAGAACATGTCTAGAGTGATCTAGTATACAACATGAGGATTATAGTTAATAACAGTCTATTGTTCTTAGGGCTTTTGGTAAATAAGTAGATTGATTTAGCTACTCTTAGAACATACACACAAAATAAAAAACAGATGTACATGTTCATTTGCTTCACTATAGTAACCTAAAATGGTTATCTACATACATATTCTATAACATCATTTTGCATACTTTAAATATATGTCAAAAAATCATTTTAAAAAATAAATAAGGGAACAAAGCTGGCCCTGTAGCATAGTGGTTAAGGAAACTGGATCACACGTGGTTGACCACAATTCGAATTCTGGCTCTGTCAGCTTAAAAAATGTGGCAGGCATGTGTGTATATGCCCAAAATCCTGATAGAAGGGGGAAAGAGATGTAAAAGAATTATAGTGTGTGAACTTGCTTCATTGGAAGGCACTTTCTCTCTCTCTCTCTCTCTCTCTCTCTCTCTGTCTCTCTCTCTCTGTCTCTCTCCCTCCCTCCCTCCCTCGCCCCCCTCTCGTGAACCTGCCCTCTAGCAATTGAAAGAAAGGAAAACAATCATTTGTTGGCACAGCTGTAAAATATACTACTCTGCAAGTAACCCCACCTAGGTCACTTGACCTAACATATAGTGTGTAACTATTGGGTTTTTGGAAAAGTCATGACATATATTTCTATGTTTTTCTATGCAAAAATATGTCATGACTTTTCTAACAACCCAATAGTATATACATTTTAATCATTTAATTAGCAAAGACTTCCTAAGTTTCTTAAAGTTATGTTGGAGACTATGAGAGAAAGATTCAAGTATTCCAAGCCTCTTTTACAAAGTTGAAAAGGAAGATTCAACCTTCCTTTTCTTCCTAAAATAGTTACGTATAGCAAACCGACATATACAACATCATCCCATTGACCAAAAAACACCTGAACAGTTCTTTCCAAAATATCCTGCTTATGAGACTTACATAGAACAGAAAATTGTTGTATTATTATAAGTAAATATGTCAAAAGATAAAATACATGCTTTTGCAATGTAGTATTAACAAAGCAGGCCCAGTAAGCCCAGTGCACAGGAAGTATCATTTTGGAAGCTGCCATAGAAGAGACAATAGTTTGGCTCCCAGGACAATGTGAACACACTGGGTCTGTAACCCATCTAATTGGGATGCTAGGGCAGAACCAAGACATAGCAAGGTGCTATCAAAAATACCTATCTCTCTGTCTCTGTCCTTCGAGTCTCTCTCACTTATAAAGCAAACACACACACATACACACACACAAGCAGCAACATGGGCTATGCATGTTTAAACAAAGCCTTTTTTTTTTAAGTTTAGGAAATCTAAACGCCTTGAGATGGATAGATAATTTCCAAGGTAGTCAGGTCTGAAACTTCTATCTCCCAGTTGTTTACAAGGAGGTTTGTAGTTTACTTATGACTGGGTAACTATGTCTTCAGCCTAATTAGTCGGTAATCTTCTTCTTTACTTTATTTCTTTTGTTTTGTTTTAATTTGAACAGAGAGAGAAAAAGGGAACACGAGAAAGCAACCCTCTAGGTCCAGGACTCAAACCACAGTCAGTCATGTGGGAGTTCAACACCTTAACTACCACACCACCTCCTAGCTCTAATCATTATATTTTATAACAGAAAAGGGTACTCTTCTCTTTGCTAATCATGGGTAAGCTATGGCATGGAGGGACAGAATTAAGAGACTAGCCAGAAATGTAACTCTGCCTTGGAGCTGTCTAAGGAACTACTCTGCCTCCCGTAGCTAGCTCGCCAGAGCTCTACAAAAGACTAATAAACTAAAAGCCAAAAAAAAAAAAAAAAAAAAAACAACACTCAAAAATCTAATTCTGTAACTAACACCCTACGGATGTGCAGTTTGCTCCTGACCAGGACTGGAGTACTCACTTTCTTTGCGAACTTCCTCAAGAGCAGCAGTAAGTTCTTCCTTTAAAACTGTAGCCTCCTGAGCAATCTTCTCCCCTTTGTCTAATAAATTCCAAGTTGCTTCCTCCACAGAAGCGAGGAGGACTCTGGCTCTTTTTGAACGTCCTTTTTTCCTGTTGGAAGGATTCTGGGGACAATTTACAAGTGTAGTAACCTAAAATAAAAAAAGAAAGAAAGAAAAAAGAAAAGAAAAGAAAAATACAAGTCATTCATTAGACAAATTGTGAAAACGCAGTCCTAAGATACCATAGTCCAGAACTAAAAGGAAGTATTTCATAGTAACACTATTTATTCCCAGTACTGTTGGTACATTTCTTTTTTTTTTTTTTAAGCTTTTTACCATAGGGCACATGCCCTCACCAGAAAGAGACAGAGAGATAGTGAGAGGGAAAGTGAGAAATCACCCCTCAGGAGGGAAGGCCATGACACCATCCTGGTTCCTCCATTCTCCTCCTAGGATTTTGGGCATGCACACACATGCACCCAGCTTGATTTTTAAGGTGCCAGATCTAGGAGTAGAACCATGGTCAATCATGTGGTAGTCTAGCACCTTAACCACCACATCATCTGCTGGCTCCAGCTGCTGGTACATTTCATTTATTTATTTATTTATTTATTTATTTATTTATTTTAGAGAAAGATTTTTGCTATAGGGTGCATATGCTCACCAGAGAGACAGAGACACAGAAAGCAAAAAATCACCTCCCTACCCCCTGCCAGGGAGAGGGCTACGCCATAATCTCTTCTCCATTCGCAGTCGACTACATGCGAGTGCAGCAACATAACCATTATACCATCTGCTGGTCCCAACTGATGGTACATTTCTAAAAGTCAAATCGTAGCACCAAGAGTCACATTGTTAGTCATCATGGATTTCCCAACTAAGATAGGAAGGAGAGCCAGCCCCCACAGTGCAGCACTATGCATTGGGAGCCAGATCTCACGTGGTCAATCATGGTTCAATTCCTGGCACCAACAGTTTGAAAACCAGGTCAGGTTTATATACGTATGTACCCAAAATCTTAACAGGAGGGAGAAATGTAGGAAAAAGGACTGTAGTGCGCCCGCACCCTCTTGAAGTTTCTCTCTTTCTCTCTCTCTGGCAAGTACGTGTACCCTCTGGTAAAGGGGGATGGAGGAATAAGAAGGAAGGAAAAACCAGAGAAATTGAAACTCTTAGAGTTTTACTACTGAAAAAATGCTTTAAAAGATTGTATGTGTGTGTGTGTGGTGTGTGTGTGTGTGTGTGTGTATGTGCGTGTTGTTCTAATTACAGAAACTTCATATAAAAAATGCATAACCTTGATAAAGCAGTCAAAAATAGAAAAGTTACATATCAAATATGTCAAATAATTGTACAATAAAATTTCTATCACTTCAATAGCTAGCAATCTATATTAACAGAAAAAATGAAGTGTAATTAAATCAGTTTTAGTCTCTTTAGGCTGAAAATAGAGATTACTAATATTCAAGGGGTGAGGGAGTGGAAAGTAGTCTGAAACATACAAAGTTGTGGTTACTTCAGGGAAACAAAGTCCAAACTTGTACTGTGACATACCTTCTTTCTCTTTGAAACCTCTCTGATCTGTCTCCTATTGCCTCCCCTAACTTGTTCAGTCTCTCAGACAGGTCCCACTCAGTCTCCTATCAAGAGGCCTTTCCTAACTACCCCTATTTCCACCCCTCCCTTGCTCTAGTCCCTCACTCACTTTGTTTTCCTCAAAACATTTACAAAATCTAACATTTTTTACATATGTTTATTGTCTGTTGTCAATACCAAAAATGTCAGTTGCATGAAAGCAAGTAATGCTTTTGTTCTCCTGCATCCCAAACCATGTATGAAGTAGATGTTTAGTAAATGTTTGTTACATAACTGACTTAATGAATGGGATGGTTGAAGTAAGAAACTATTTAATGTCTACATTTGAATTGCCTAAATATGTTAATAATGAGCATGTATTTGTTTAAAATAAGAACAAACTCACCACAAAAATATGTATACAAGCTAATTAATCCATTCATTAGCTTGATTTAATCACTTCACAATGAATACATATATCAAGACTCCACAAAAATATAACAAACTATATACCATTTTTATTTGCCAATCATACCATAACAAAACTGGAAAAAGAAAGAACAAACTCATTTTGAGAACATTATTTGAAGGTAAAATTTAAGTATCTAGGGCCAGCAGGTGACATAGTAGTTAAGGCACTGGATTCCTACATGGCCAGCCACAGTTCAAGTCTCAGACCCAATAGCTTGAAAATTACAACAAACAAATAGATAAATAAATCATTAAAAATAAGATTAAGTATCTGTATTTGGAAACAAAAACTTCATACTGAAATCACATTAGAAAAATACCCATTCCGGGGTGAGCAGGTGACAGTGATTAAGGTAGCAGACTCCCACATGGCTGAATACGGTTTAAGTCCTGGACCTAGTGGCTAGAAAATCACATTTGGTGTGTATGCATGAGTGCCCAAAAATCTCACTAAGAAAATAGAGGAGAAGAGACTGCAGCATGGCCAACTGCCTGGGGGGTTGATTTCTCACTTTCCTTCTCACTGTCTGTCTCTCTTTGGTGAGTTCAGGTACCTTATGGCAAAAACCTTTAAAAGAGGATAAATAAATTTTTGTTAAAAAAAAAAAAAGAAAAATACTCATTTTTTCCATTTCTTAAATTCTGGATCCCAATAGCAAATTTTGTATAAAATTTTTATAAACAAAATTTAAAATTTTCCATCAAGGAAAAAGGGAGAAAACAAACTTATATGGAGTATTTAATATACCAAACCTGAAAACCCCTATTGAAGGCTAGGTTCCTGCGTGGCATCCAGCAGCTGGGGCTTACGATAATCATGCACCGAATCTTTGACAATCGACTATGCTTAACCCTGGTGCTCTGAAGCCCCTAGAGACTTTGCTTGTTGGTTGCATTAGATATCTGTTTACTTGAATATCTGGACCCACTTTTTAGCTAGGAATTAAGAAAGAATTTATAAGCTATGAGGGAAATATATAGATAAATGTTTTGTGGTCTATTCTCTTCCCCTTGTCCAATAAACCACCTGTTTTATTAATATTCTAATTTGCTTTATTCCTATGTTTATGACTCAGAGTGAAATGTTTTATAGCAAACCTTTTTTTCCTTTTTTTTTCCAAAAAATAAGAACAATCATACTATTCTATTAAACTGTGTTAAAGTTAAACAAGGTGAAGCATTTTGTAAAATGCATAACATATCACCAATATTGATTGGCATTTAAGGTGTATTTTGTAGTCCATGTTTCATATTGATACAGAAAATAGCCCCATCCTGAGCTTTTGGGAATCCTTGTCAAAGCTGTTCTCTCTGGCTCTAACCTTATCTTTTTGGGGTCCCTCATACTAAATGTGATGAAAGCACTTAACAAACACATTCCATATGCTTCACAAGCAGCTAAATAGGGTCATGTGTCTTCGTTGTGGATTATGTGAGGATGATAATAAGCCCGACTTCTTACATGAAAATTCACAAACTCCCAAACATAAATATCTCGCCAGTCTAATTTAAATATCCAGAGTTAAAAGATAGTGTCCAGAGTAAGACAAATTATAATACATAGTTTAAAACCTTTATTTAAAGCAAAGAATAAGCATCATTGTCTGAAATGTGCCTTTAGAATGTATCTTAAGTGCCAGGACTCATGATGCTTCCCACTGCACATTCCTCCTCTATTGTTAAATCCTCCCAGTGCCAAGTGCCATAGAATAGTCTGGGCTTTGAAACTAAAATGAACATTCCAGAAATGCTTTGTTCCTTATAATGAATGCCAAAAAAGTAAAAAAAAAAAAAAAAGTGAAAAGAACATTGTACTTCCATTAAAAAAAAGCAATTACAATTTGTAAGTTATTCACTTTTATAAGATGTTTGCATGTACGTCTTCTTTTAAAATATCCCAGTATATTTATTTAATATTGATTAAACTCAAGTCAAATGGTGTTTTCAATGATTCCTTTTATTTCAGAAAGTACATGTGACCTGAAAATTTTGTGTAAAGAAAGAAAATTGAATTTTTTTTCCACTCCAATTCACCTAAGGGATATGAATAACCTACTTCTCTCAGTGACTGTGATTCACTATAGCAGATGATTCTCACCAAGGAGCAATGAATATGTTATCTGAAAATGTCAGCATGAGGAATATTGGCAATAAGAAAAATTAGCTTTCAAATTATTCTATAAAATTATTTATTTCTAGGATCAACAGATGGTGTAATGGTAATGTCACTGGACCCTCACATGGCCAACCACGGTTCAAATTCTGGACCTGGTGGTTTGAAACACACTGGGCACATGTGCATGCATGCATGCCCAAGATCCCAAGAGGAGACTGGAGGAGAAGAGATTGCGGAATGGCCATCCCCCTGGGAGGTGATTTCTCACTTTCTATCTCTCTGTCTCTCTCTGATTCTCCAGTGAGCACACACACCCTATAGCAAAAAAAAATTGTTTTCTCATTTTCTTTTCAGTATAAAATCAGTTGTATTTTTATAAAGAACACAAAAACTTTAATTGGCTCTTGTAGCGTGTTTTGCTAACTTTCTTTATGTCACTGATACACAAACCTTCCCTTCCCCTCCTTCTTAGACCTTAGGGTCCCTCTCACGTGGAAAATCTCTGGACTGCAGACTTGCAGCTCTAGAGAGCTTGGGTTTCCTCACTTTTATTTAGTTGGTAAACCTGAGCCAGGCTACAGAGGCACATCTTCATCATAGTTACAGAAAGGAGCTCCCCATTGAAATAGTCATAAATTAGAGGTTTCAAGTATGTGAAAAGAAAAAAATTACCACTTTACTAATTCTGCAAATATAAAATTCCATAAAGAAAAATGCATTTGGGAACCAGCAGTTAGCGTAATGGCTATGTCGCTGGACTCCCACGTAGTCAACCGCGGTTCACGTCCTGGACCCGGTGGCTTAAAACTCACGCCGGGCGCGTGTGCGTACGTGCCCAAGATCCCGAGAGGAGAATGGAGGAGAAGGGATTGCGGCGTGACCATCCCCCCTGGGGGGGTGATTTCTCGCTTTCTGTCTCTATGTCTCTCTCTGTCTGTCTGGCGAGCGCACGCGCCCTATAGTGAAAAAAACTCTCCCAAAAAAAAAG